ATCCATCCATCCATCCATCCATCCATCCATCCATCCATCCATCCATCCATCCATCACTACATTTTTTTTTACTAAATCACAATTTCCACCATCTTTCTTTTCTTCAAATGTTTCACCTGGATGGTGGTCACTCCCATTTCCAGTCCGACCAGGATTCTCCTGTCGAGCAACTTTGCCACCTGGGGGTTCTCGACCTTCAGGAAGTCCCACACGAGCTCCGTGATGTCCACCTGCCAGTCGGTGCCCAGCATGTAGGTGGTCTGGCCTCGCGAATCAGCCGACTCGGCAATAAAGTGGGTCAGGACTTTGATCATGGCGTGCTGGTACTGCAGAGTGCAGCTTCGCCCTCGCCGGTCTTCATCGTCCTCGTCCTCGCTGTCCCACATGGACCTGGAGGGAAAAGGAGTGGAAACGTTGGTTGATCAATTCCATTTTGAGTCAAACGTGACAAATTAGCCTGATTAATTCTCTGTTGGTTGCTGCTGTTTTTCAGTCTAAACTAGGACAAATCTTTGGACTCGAGTGTTTTTTTTTCTTTTTCAGCAACATTGTTAAATGTGCAGCTTGTTGTAACTTCTTCAGGAATGTTTACTCAATAAAAAACACCCAGTTATGATGAAATGCCGTTGATCAAAGCGATAAGAGCTGCTCGATCCAGTCAATGGCCATCATTTTTCTTTTTCGGTGCTTCTCCCTCACCGTTTCCAAGCACCCGCTCTGAATTGTAAATGTGCTTACACCTCCTTACTGCTTTACTTAATAGCCTCCCTGATTGCTCCGTTGCTAGCAAATCTAATTTTATTACTTCGAGCAACAAATCAGCCAGTGGAGACACAACTCTTTCTTAGCAGGAAAATTGCCCCGAGTTTGACAAACTAGGTTTAAATGGTTACGATATAATTAGGTTTTGCCTATAAGTGCTTTTCTCTCTATTGCTTCGACAAACGCCTTTATAAAAACAACAAATAAAGCACCCTGAGATGTTGAGAAAGCAACCCCCCCTTTGAATTGTTGATCTGGGAGAACAAATRCTGTTACAGCTATTCATTCATTCACAGATGCACAGTTGGGTTACTCGCAAACAGAAAAAGGGCTTTGTCAACACAACTATTAATCATACACGTAWGCTTTGATTTACATCCGCCTTTCTGTTTAATCATTGTCATTTGTTCTTCTGTTTCCGTTCCTTTCTTCTATACGTACACACCAGTAAAGGTTGTGAATGAAATAAAAGGAAAGAAGAAAAGAAATTAATCTCTTAAACAGTATTTTTTTTCCTTTCGATTATCCGCTCTGCTTGTCTCTTTCTGTCCGAATCCCCGAGGAAATCTGACTGACTGCTAAGCCGTGGGAATAAAGATGTTAGCTGCGAGCTCGAGAGAAAAGCCAAGAGTACAGAGAGATTTGAAGTTAAGAGCTTAAAAGCTTTGCTGGCAGGACAGATTTCACATGCATCTGAATGACAGCCATTAACCAAAAATGCATTGTGAAGAGGATAGAGCTATACGTTCAGGATTCACGGCACCATCACACGTGCTCTAACTGAGAAACAGTATCTGTGTTTCAAAACGTAGAGATGAGGACTGATGGGATTTTTTACTGTGTTGTTCAATCCACACGGTTTTACAACAATTGTACCACCCTCYACCATCAATTTGGCCTTTTTTATTGTGTCAGTTTAAATCCATGACAAACATTAGCAGATTTTTCAGCAACAACATCCAAACAAACCACCAAATGCTGTCAGATTTGGAGTGAAACGGTGCCAAATCCTGATTAGCGAAGCAGAGTTGACTCAGTTCACAATAAATCAAACAGAAATGTAAAAAGAAAAAAAGGAAGATTGTAGAAAGTCTGTGTGACTTTGACCTGTCATGGTTCCACTGGTAGCAGCTAAAAGATGATTAGAAAAAAAAACATTTGTACTAATGTGTTTGCCAAAAAGCAAATGCAAATTTAGTAAAAAAAAAAAAAAATTACACTAAGAAATTTATTACAGTTTTGGGAGAAAGTAGACAGAAATTATTTGGTATTTTTCCTTTTTGGCTTTGCTTAAGATGACTAGCTATTATTG